CGCCCAAAGGACTTGTCCTTTACTGCGTTCCCGCCAGAATCCTAGGAAGATCCAGCCGCGGCGACGAAAAGCCTCGCGGAGGCCCAAGAAGGGCCAAGAACGTTCGAGAACTTCGAAGTCCCAGACGTCCGACGATGTGATATTTCAATCCGAGGCCCAAAGCTCCAGACCACTTCCCCTCGGCAGCATTTCGTCACAGATCCGATTTTGATTGCCCCGAGGGGGCCAAATGGCCCTAGCCGAAGTTGAAGAAGAAACAGCGAGTGTAACAAGTAATCCGCAGGAAGTCTGGAGGAGGATGAGGAGAAGAAGGACCTGCGCAAACCAAAGACTCATCCACGATGTTGCGTCAGACCCTCCGCCAAGTTTCCTCTTCACAGGTCTCTGCAAGGATTTACTTTCACTGAGGTAAATGCCCCGTTGGAAATCAACCGTTTGAAATCATGAACCGTGCCAAAACACACTTCCTGGGACTTCACCGCCGCGTTACTGATGCGTCCTGACGATCCTGCATCGTGCCAGAAAACCAAACACAATTCATGGGACTTCCAGGCCGCGAAGCAAAGCGACTGCTGCGCCCTAGCAGTCCGACGTCGTGCCAAAAAAACATCTGGGAAGTCAACCATCGGACTCCTGGAAACTGCTTTAAACTCTTAAGACCTATTTGCGCGGCGCCCCGCCGCACTCCATCCGTGAAGCTCTCGCAGGCTTTTGAAACGAATGTGTGCGGAGCTCCGGCGAGAGCCACACTGTCAGAAGGGACCGCCTCAATCCGTGAGGCTGTTACAAACAGTTGAAGCAAACGCACGCGGCGCTAAGGCGAGAGCCACAATTTGAAAACGGCCCAACTGCAAAATGATGAGAAGAATGTGCGCTGCGCTAAAGCGAGAGCCGCAATTTGAAAAGCGCCCCCTCCATCCGTGAAATCCTTGCAAATTCTGAGCGTCTGGGTCATCAGTGGTGAGGAAGTCTCAAGCGAAACGTACAGCCCGCCCTACCGACACGTCCCGGGGCGCGACACAGAGGATTTGTTTGTGAGCAACAGGAACGAAGGGAGGAGGGGGGAGGAGGAGGTAGAACTTAACGGAGGGAGGACTGTTTGAACTCAGCCTGGCGTTAGAACTTCTGTATACGCTGTCAGTAGAGTGCGGGAGGGAAGACGGAGGAGGGGAGGATAATGAAGAGGGAGAAGGGAAGAGGGAAGAGAGGAAGGAGGGAGGGAGGGAGAAAGGTAGGGAGGGGGGAGGAGGAGGAGGACGGAAAACGATGCGCAGGTAGTACAATTAATATCTCTCGGGGGCTTTGGAACCTCAATAGTCCACTCGAATTCCTGGGGCCTACGTGGAGGGCCGCATGGCCCTCGGGCCCCGACATAGGGGGTTGCCATAGAGAGCCCAGGAGGCAAGCGTGCGAGGCAGGCAAGATTTACAAACTGGTCTTGGCCCGCGACAGGAACTCGAGGGGAACCATGGCAATTATCGGGCAGGTCCCTTGACCCCGATACGCGACACGCAACCCGCAGCGTGTTGACACGGAGCTCAGCAGCTGGCGCGATACGTTCGCCAAAACGTGGCCCAACACGTGCCGAGCCAACACGCAGCGTGTTAACACGGACGTTTTGAAAACGGTCTGTGGTGAGTTTCAACACGGGCGTATCAGGGCAGCTAAGCTGGGAGATATCATGGCACTGGCCATGCTATCCACACCCTGACGTAGCCCTCCCCTGAGATCCGACGTCGCGGAAACACTGCACCACGGCGGAGGATGAGACGACTGGCGTCCCGGAGACCCCACCTCTCTGTGGCACTACTCGAGCCACGAAGAAGGCGAGATCGCACAGCGCGAAACACGAAACAAGTGCAACGCCCAGATCTCAGGGCCACCCCCCTCTTAGGACACCCAAGATGCCCCCCCCCACCCCCCCCCCCCGCCAAAGGGTGAGGGGGAACGATTGCACGGTTTCCTCCGCGGCCGTAGGCGACCCGAGGAGGGGGAGTAGGAGGAGGAGGAGGAGGAAGAGGAGGAGGAGGAGGAGGAGGAGGAGGAGGAGGAGGAGGAGAGAGAGAGGAGGAGGAGGAGGAAGGAGGAGGTTGGGGGGGAAGAGGGAGGAGGAGACGCGGAGGTAGGAGGAGGAGGAGAGGAGGAGGAGGAGGAAGGAGGAGGAGGAGGAGGAGGAGGAGGAGGAGGAGGAGGGGGAGGGGGAGGGGGACGAGGAGGGAGGATTTTTTTTTGGCTCCACGCTCTCCTCTGAGTCCTTAAAAGGAACTGACGCCAACTGCAACGAGGCGGTGCAGCAGGCCTGTACAGCGCGACCAGGGAGCGCAAGGAGACCGTGCTCCGCGCACCCTGGTCGGGGTAGGGGGCGCCGGAGCACGTGCTCCGACGCCCAACCTACCCACCACCTACTCCATAGGTGGCCGCGGTTTCGGACCCCGGGACCCCCAGGACCGAAACCAAAAAGGGGATCACGACACGACGCGACACGACGGGGGGACGAAACGAACGACGCGACACGAACGACACGACACGAACGAACGACACGACAGAGACGAGCCGCCGGTCCCGCCCCAGGGCGGCGAGTGCTGGAGGGAACCAGCACCGCCCTGGGGGAGGCCACGGGACCTGGCGACCCCCCCGGGGGAAGGAAACCGCACTTTGGCGGCGTCCCCCGGGGTGCGGGGGCCTTTCGCCCCTCGGGCCCGGCGCTCACCGCCTGCGCCAGGAGGACCCTAGGGTCCCGACCCCTCCCCTACGGGAGGGGCCCTCCTACGGATTGCGTGAGGTAGGATGTTGTAAGTGATTAAGAGAAAGCGGTTAGTTTAGGGAGGAAGGAGGGAGGAGGAGAGTGAGGAGGAGGAGGAGGAGGAGGAGGAGGAAGAGGAGAACGAGGAGAGGAGGGAGAGGGAGGAGGAAGGAGGACGAGGAGGAGGACGAGGAGGAGGACGAGGAGGACGAGGAGGAGGAGGAGGAGGACGAGGAGGAGGAGGAGGAGGACCCCCCTCCCCCTCCAAAACTTCTGTTGGTGGTGGTGGGAAGACAGGCTCATCAAACCTGCGCAGATCGAGGAGCACCCCCTGGCGTAGCCACACCCTCTGCACCCGGCGCGGCCTAATCGTGGGGATGCGCGGCAGGGGCGCAAGGGACCCTTAGGAAACCCGCGCGACAATGGTCCGAGCAAGGCCGGCCAGCGAACAAGGTGGGGGTGCGAGGCTGCCCGCCCATCCCTATGCTCTTTGGACGCCCGGAATGGGCACGGAAAGAATGGGTACTCCAGGTTTCGTAACAAAAGGGAGGGGGGTCTCATTTCGGGGGGGGTCTCTTCCAGGCTATCTTGGAGGGCCTGGGGTGGTCTGGGGACGATGTCTTGGAGGGTTCTCCCACGAGGGGGGGTCTAAAACTTCTCGTCTGGGAGGGTTGAGACCCCCTCCCTTTTATTACGAAATCTGGAGTATGCTTTGGACGCCCGGAATGGGCACGGAAAGAATAGGTACAGTGTCCAGCAGCAGATGTTGTCCCAGACCAACAGCGGCCGCTGCTGGGCAGGCGGCCTCCCGTCTCAAATGGGGACACAGGCCGCGGCGGCGCGGACAGCACGTCCTGTTCAAAACGAACCAGATCCGCTGTCGGGCGTTGTACGCATTCTTTCCGTGCCCATTTCTCGCCATCGCTCGGACGTCCATGTTTTGTGTGTTTTTCGGCTTCGTGCGTGGTTTTTTCGCCAAATGGTCAAGGATGTTCATCGATGGCCCTCGCCGAGAAAAACATGCAAACGTCCGAGCGATGCCAGGATTTCGTTCGTGCAGAA